GACCTGAGCCGAAGTCAGACGCTTAACCGACTGAGCCACCCAGAACATTGCTAAATTTAAAGAAGACATAAATAAATGGAATTTAATGGCTAGAAGGCTTAATATCGTTAAGTGTCAATGCCAAAGGAGATTGGCAAATACAATGCAGTCCCTATCAAAATCAAAAAGTACTATATATCCATCAAATGAAGTCTGTGGACTCAGCCTCCCAGATGGGGTTAAAAGACAAAACCCACATGTGTTGTTTGCTAAAAATATACTTGAAACAGTGATAAAGAAAGGTTAAGATAAACATATGCACAAGAAAGAGAAAAGAGGAGTGGCAATATTAATGTATCACAGAAGGAAGAAAGTAAAGTTAAAACATTGAACAGGATTTTATGAAATTATTTACTTCACAGTTTAAGAAGATATATCAAAGACCTGTAGGCACCAAAAATAATTTGGCTAGTAATTTAAACTAAGAATCTGTAATAGATTCAAGGAAAATGGGTAAACATATGGTTATAGTAGGAAATTCCAGGTCCTATTATTTCAAAATAGGACAGATCGAGTAGACAAAAAGTGAATAAATATAGAGGAGCTAGATAGTATAATCCACAGACTTCATTTGATGGATATATAGTACTTTATATCCTTCAAAGAGAGAATATACATTAATACAGTCTGAAGCCTCTAAAAAAGTTGGTCAAATATGTGGCCCATAGAAAATATTAAGTTAAAGAAAATATGTTTTATATTCTGCATTACTCAGTAAAATTAGAAATAATGAAACAAATAACTAAAAGATTCTTAATTGGAAATCAGAAATCACATTTCTAGACAAATTTTGGATTGAGGAGAAAATCAAAACTGAAATTATAAACTACCTAGAACGCTATAAAATAGAGGACGTTATGGTGAAACTTGTGGATCATTGCAAAAGCTATTCCCAGAAGAAAATTTATCACCTAAAATGTCTTCATTATTAATGAATAATAACTAGAAGGGATGTAGTACTCTTGAGACATTAGGGAAATAATAGCAAAGGAAAAGCAAAATAAAAGAAGAGGGAATTAATAAAGATAACTGAAATTAATAAACACTTGCAAACATAAAAATACGATAAATAAATTTTACTCATTTTGACTTTCTGAAAAAATGATTAATGAACCTGATGAAGAAAAATAAAGAGTGCAAAAATACATGCGAGAAGAAGTGACATGCTCTGGAAAAGAGTCAAAGTAGAAGAGAACATGATGTACAACTTTGTCAACAAAATTATCCCAACATTTTAGTGTGAAACATTTTAAATATAGGCAAAGAGTTCTTGGATGTAACAATGAACACATGATCCATGAAAGTAGAAAAATCAATAAATTGGACTTCAACAAAATTAAAATATTTTGCTCTTATGAAAGACACTATTAAGAGATGAGAAGGTAATCCAGAGAGTGGCAGAGAGTATTTTCAAATCACATATGTGATAAAGGACTTGTATGCAGAATCTATAAAGAACTTGTGGGGGGCACCTGGGTGTCTCAGTTGGTTAAGCATCCAACTTTGGTTCAGATCATAATCTCACAGTTCTGAGTTTGAGCCCTGAATCAGGCCCTCTGCTGTCAGTATAGAGCCCACTTGAGATCCTCTTGTCTCCTTCTCTCTCTGCTCTGTTTGTTCCCTATGGTTAGGAGTCTGTTTCTTGGTTTGCCTCTCTCTTTTCCCATTTGTTCATTTGTTTTTAACTTCCACATATGAGTGAAATCATATGGTGTTTGTCTTTCTTTGACTGACTTATTTCACTTAGCATAATACTCTTTAGGTCCATCCTTGTCTTTGCAAGGATGCAAAGACACATCTTCTTTATCCATTCATCAGTTGATGGACACTTGGGCTGTTTCCATAATTTGACTACTATAGATAATGCTACTATAAACATCGGGGTGCATGTATCCCTTTGAATTAGTATTTTTGTATTTTTTGTGTAAATACCTAGTACTGCAATTGCTGGATCATAGGGTAGTTCTATTTTTAACTTTTTGAAGAACCTCTATACTGTTTTCCAGAGTGCCTATACCAGTTTGCGTTTCCACCAACAGTATAAGAAGGTTCCCCTTTCTCCACATCCTTGCCAGCACCTGTTGTTTCCTGTGTTGATGTTAACCATTCTGACAGGTGTGAGGTTATATATCATTAGTTTTGTATTTCCCTGATGATCAGTGATGTTGAGCATCTATTCATGTGTCTGTTAGCCATCTGTATGTCTTCTTCAGAAGAATGCCTATTCATATCTTCTGCCCATTTTCTTAACTGGATTATTTGTTTTTGAGTGGTGTTAAGTTGTATACATTATTTATATTTTTCGGATAGTAACCCTTTCTCAGATATGTCATTTGCAGACTTCTTCTCCCATTCTGTAGGTTGCCTTTTAGTTGTGTTGATTGTTTCCTTTGCTGTGAAGAAGGTTTTTATATTCAGGAAGTCCCAGTAGTTTATTTTTGCTAAACAAAAGAAACCTCTCTAATGATACTCTTTCATGTTTATCAAGTTAATATTTCTTCTACTCTTTTTCCTTTTTTTCCTACTCTCTTGAGTTTCATAAAAATATAGTCTATCAATGTATGTATTTTATCTTTAAAAAAATCTTTGGTTTGAACCCTCCTCTTATTTCCAATGCTATTATGGATTTGTTTATATATTTCTTTTGCCATTTTGGTGGAATTTAGGAAGAGAAGGGATTTAATTTAATTTAATTTAATATGTTGTCAATCATCTTGAAATCATACCTAAATTTTTAACGAGGATACTTGATTATTTCTCTGTTAAAATCAAAACTTAAAATAGTTCTGCCACTCCTTCCTCTCCTGCTCCCTCTTGCAGAAGACAAAAATTGCTTTTATTCTTCCTTTTTTTTGTTAGAATTTTTTAAATTAAATTAAAATTTTTGTAGTCTCACATTTTTATTTAAATTCCAGCTAACATACAGTGTAAATTAGTTTCAGGTGTAGAATTTACTGATTCCTCACTTATTACATACAACATTCAGTGATCATCTGGAGTTTTAATTCCAGGCTTTCTTTTTGCATTATATATCTTCTATTTTAATTATTGTTTAGAAAATTCATTCCAGGGGCACCTGGGTGGCGCAGTCGGTTGGCGTCCGACTTCGGCCGGGTCACGGTCTCGCGGTCCGTGAGTTCGAGCCCCGCGTCGGGCTCTGGGCTGATGGCTCAGAGCCTGGAGCCTGTTTCCGATTCTGTGTCTCCCTCTCTCTCTGCCCCTCCCCCGTTCATGCTCTGTCTCTCTCTGTCCCAGAAATGAATAAACGTTGAAAAAAAAAAAAAAAAAAGAAAATTCATTCCATTTTACCAACTACATTAACCACTATTACTTAGCCTTTACCCTAAGTAAGCATTATTGGTAATTTATTATTATTTATTGTATGTCACACACTCCTTTTCTAATGATTTTATTTGGCCATATTTTTTTTGAAATTCTTTGAATAATATTTTCAGAAGGGGTGTATGGAATGATGTACTTTGGGTCCTTATTTTCTTAAAAATGTGTCTGTTTTTCCCTTATAAATTTGATTGGTTATTTTTCTGGGTTCAGAGTTTTAGGGTTACAGTCCTCCCTCAGAATTCTATAAACATTGCTCCTTTGACTTTTAGCATTTAATATAGCAGATTAGAGGTCTAATTCCTGTTTGAAGGTATTTTACTGGTTGGTAACCTTGTATTTCTTTCTAGAAATATGTTGGCAGTTCAGATATTTAACCAGAATAGATGTCTACATGTCTAACATTTTGATTATTCCTGTCCTGACATTATATAGATCCTATAGATGTGGAAATTCAGGGATTTCTTAGGGAAACTTCCTGTTTGTTTTATTACTTTTTTTCATTTTGATATATTATTTTTCTTTTCCAGCAAAGGTGATTTTATTTTTTATTTATTTTTCCAGTTTTATTGAGATATAATTGATATATAACAAGTAGATATTTAAAATGTACAACATAATGATTTGATATATGTGTATATTGTGAAATGATCACGGAAAGTTTAGTTATCATATGAGGTATTGTTTTTCAGCATATTGATTTATTTTGCAGGTAGGTTTATAGCATAGTTATGAAATATAACAGCTGCTGCATTGTTGAATGGGAGGAATGAAAGTAACTACCTAATAAAATTTATCAATGATTATATAAGTCCTGAGAAAAAAATTGACAGATAAAAATACTTATATAAATGAAAACAACAGAACAAAGCACACATTTGAGTGGTGTTAGAAATGTCCATGAGAATTTCTAGACTCTATTTGGAACTTGCTACTCCATTTCAGGACCGGAAATTAACCAAAGCTGAGCAGCAAAGGTTCAAGGAAGAAGCAGAGATGTTAAAAGGTCTCCAACATCCCAATATAGTTCGATTTTATGATTCCTGGGAGTCTATATTAAAGGGAAAGAAATGTATTGTATTGGTGACTGAACTTATGACATCAGGAACCTTAAAAACGTAAGTTGACCCTGATAGTGCTAATGAAGTTTTATTTGGAAATAATTTTCAAGAGTTATAAAAATTGTTTGTAAAATTGCAGTACTTGATTAAAGAATATGTAGTGTTTGACTGGCAACTATGTGTCAGGGCAGGTTGAAAAATTTAGGATGTTAAGTTTGTTAGAATATACAGTATTGAGAAATGAATATTTGTGGGATAGCATAGAGTTTAAGAATTACAAATAATGTCATTTTGTAAAAATAATGAGAGATTGGGGGTGTGTGGCCAGGTTCACATATCTAGTGAACAGTACTATATAATTATAATTTATTGTTTTATTTCTGACTGCAGTTTTTCATTTGATGGTACAATCACTTATTTATAATTATTAAATATGGGATATACTTTTTCTGTTTCCTAGCATCTTTGCACTAAAATTTTACATAGTTAACCCCCCTGGTGACTTTACAGAAATAGTTATTGGAAAGTAGAGAAGGATTTTCTTTTTAAAATTTTGCTGCCCTTCCACAAGAGGTCACTCTGATTAGAATGATTCTTGTTTTGAATTTAAAAAGCTAAAAAATGATAGACTTGGTAGGATGTCTTCTCTAAGAATGAAGCCTAGATTTAATTTTTTTTCTATAACAGACAATAGAGGACAATTCAGTGCTGACAATCATAGTACATACAATACCAGCTAACTTACATGATTTACCCTAATAGTGCTCATATAATAAGCTAGATATGTTTGTTTATATGTGGTCTTTTTTTTCCTTTGTGTAGGTACTTAAAACGATTTAAAGTCATGAAACCAAAGGTCTTAAGGAGTTGGTGCAGGCAAATTTTAAAGGGATTGCAGTTCTTGCACACTAGGACTCCTCCCATTATTCACCGGGATCTGAAGTGTGACAATATTTTCATCACGGGACCCACTGGATCTGTGAAGATTGGTGATCTAGGACTAGCCACCTTAATGCGAACATCATTTGCTAAGAGTGTCATTGGTGATTAACATTTTATAGTTTATTGTTAGGATAAAGAGAGATTTTTTAATTGTGTATGTCTAGAATTGGGATCAGCAAACTATGGCCCATGAACCAAATCTGGCTCCATTGCTTATTTTTATAAATAAAAGTTTTATTGGAACACAACTACACTCCCTCATTTATGTATTGTCTATAGCTGCTTTTGCACTACAGTGACTGAGTTGAGTAGTTGTGACACAGACCATATAGACTGCAAAGCCTGAAATCTTTACTGTCTGGTCCTTCACAGAGAAGTTTGCTGACCCCTGGCCTAGAATGTGAATTTGGTTTTACTTTATTTATTTATTTATAAATGTTTATTTATTTTGAGAGAAAGAGCATGGGGGGGAGCAGAGAGAGAGGGGGAGAGAGAGAATCCCAAGTAGGCTCTGTGCTGTTAGTACAGAGCTTGACATATGGGGCTCAATCTCAAGAACTGTGAAATCATGACCTGAGCCAAAATCAGGAGTAGGACACTTAAGACTGAGCCACCCAGGTGTCCCAAATTTGCTTTTAAATATCTATTATATATTGACTTATTTCAGACACATTCTAGTGTATTTCTTTTGTGGGACATATTAAAAGGTTCCAAAGACTTAAGAAAGAAGATTTACTAATTTAATTCAGAAAAATTTGTAAATAAAGGATTAGAAATAAAAACAGATTTTAGTAATCATTATCTTGAGCATTACAAATTGTACTTTACCAGTATGGAAAGTTATGGAAATTCTTGACGTACTTTGTATAGATATAGCAAGTATTCCTGCAAATGTTTTATTTATAAATTTGGTTTAGGGAGCAGAAATTAACCCAGGTAATCCATATGGAAAAGGGAATGTGATCTTGGTGGATAAATTTTTCTTTTTAATAAAAATGTGGATGTGGTGTTATTTTGTAGGGACTCCTGAGTTTATGGCCCCAGAAATGTATGAAGAGCACTACGATGAATCTGTAGATGTCTATGCTTTTGGAATGTGTATGCTGGAAATGGCTACTTCTGAATATCCTTATTCTGAGTGCCAGAATGCAGCTCAAATATACCGTAAAGTAACTAGCGTAGGTATAACTTTATTCTTTTTTACTTCTTAGATTGTCATGTTTTATGTTGAAGTTGGTAAAGTCAGCTTAAAACCAATTTTGGTTTTAGTTTAGTGCTGTATAACAGTGCTAAATTTAACATAATTGTAATGAAACAAGCTTTATATTTATGCTGTATGCCTGTACTTTATTGGGGTCACATAAAATGCTCTGTATTAGTACCTTTGGGTAAATGTATAGATATATCTATATCCATTTGTTTGTAAATAATTTTTAGATTTATTGGGTGGATAATATTTTTTCAAAGCTGATAATGAAGTTTGACTAAATGGTTTTGAAGGTTTCTAGTTCTAAAAGCCTAATTATTAAAGAGCATTCAAAATATTGTTCAACAGCTACAGCATTTGATTCCCTGTTATAGGTAATTTTTTGCATTAGAAATTTCAAGGAATGTAAAGATGAATAAGAAGTATTTGCTACCCATAAAGAGCTTGCATTTTTAAATTCACAAATAGCTATAAAAATAAGAGTATAGTAAGGGATGTAAGGTAGAAGCAAAGTCTTAGGATTGTTCAAAATAGGTCTATTTCATATCTACTTGGGTGGCTGTAGAATAGGCTGTGAAAGAGATTGTTAGAGTGTTTCAAGTAACTAATACTAATAGGTACCATTTTTAAATGCATGCTGTATACTACATACCTTCATATTATAACCCTACAAGATGGTGCTATCTTCAGTTTACGAATGATAAGGCTGAGAATCAGAGATTGTGACTTGCCCAAGTTCACACAGCTACTAATAGTGGTGGATTTTGACCTCAAATCTGTCTGACTCTAGAGATACATGTGTAGGGAGACAAGAAATAAAGCCAGTATCTAGAATGTGGGCCATTCCATAGGACAAATGACCTAGTTTCTCCAACAAATCAATTTCATGAAAGTAAAAAGGGGAGGGACTGTTAAAGAGTACAAGAGACTTAAAGTAGTGGTGAGCTACTTTAAGTGAACTAAATGTTTAACAACCGATTCTCTGAAAAAGAAAAAGCACTGATTTCTAGCATTCTCTGATTTCCTTGGTGTTAAATATTCTCACCATGACTGATTTCAAGTCACCACTGTGACCTCACTGAATGCAGGGTCGGGAACAGTATACACAGTGGCACTCATCATATGGTATTTCTACCATACAGATATAATAAACAACCTCAAGAGCATAAATAATAGTAAAATGTAGTAAAATAATTACGAGTAGTGTTATCAGTATTTATTTCCTTGGCTGTTGATATAATTTATTTAATTGTAAGATTATATAAGTTTTGTAAATGACTGTGTTTAATAATCAACTTACAGATTTCTTGACAATGTAATAGCTGCGTCTTGTGAGATGGTATGAGCCAGGTCTAATGCACCATACATGTACTGTGAGGACCTTGTTTGGATCCTGATTTGAACAAACCAACTATAAGAAGACATCATTTAGACAATTTGGAAAATTTGAGTGTGGATTGGGTTTTAGATAATGTTAAGGAATTATTGGTAATTATTTTAGGTGGGATGGTGACATGATATCTGTTAGAGGTATAAACTGGAGACTTTCTGAGTGAAATGACATGATGCCTAGGATTTGCTTTAAAATATTTTAGGATAGGGGCGCCTGGGTGGCTCAGTCGGTTGAGCGTCCGACTTCGGCTCAGGTCACGATCTCGCGGTCCGTGAGTTCGAGCCCCGCGTCGGGCTCTGTGCTGACTGCTCAGAGCCTGGAGCCTGTTTCAGATTCTGTGTCTCCATCTCTCTCTGACCCTCCCCCGTTCATGCTCTGTCTCTCTCCGTCTCAAAAATAAATAAACGTTAAAAAAAAAATTAAAAAAAAATATTTTAGGATAAAAAAGGTATGGGGGTAGATAGCTGAAACAAGGTTGACAAAATGTTGCTTGTTGAGCTGGTGGTGGTTACATGGGGCTTCTTATACTATTCTACCTTTGAGTATGTTTGAAGATTTCTGCAACAAAGAGGTGAGAGAAGAGATAAGGCTAGAATGTCTTTTTAGTCTGATTCCATACATTGTATGGCCACAAATAGAAAAGAATTTGTACTTGATTTTGTAAGTTGCAGCTTCCCAATTAATTTCACCTAGGAGCAGAGAAAGGCAATAATTACCCAGGACTGCGGAAGAGGTAAGAGATCAGTGGAAAGGTCAAAGAGGAGTTTTTGTATAAGTAGAATGATGTAACACCATTTTCTGAATGGTGATTTTATTATTTCATATTAAAATCACAAAAATGCCATATCACAATTCACATTTCCATCTGTATTAAAGTTTCTTGAGTTTGAGATCCAAATTAATTCCTAATCTCACCAGGTTTATCTAGTATATGATACTGGGCTTTCTGATTCTGCATCCTGTGAAGTAGTGTGACAGACCCAGAACTAGGTTTTAGATTGCCTTATTCCATGACAATTATTCTATCATATCTTTCTCCTTCTAGATTAATTTGGAGTTTTCTATTAAATGACTGTAATGATTATTTTCTGAAATCTAAAACTCATAATTTAAGAGTAATAGAATGTAAAATAAGCATATTCAGGCAGCTAACATTGTTACAGAAACATTTTGAATTGTCTAGACCTTACTAATTTGTTAATGCATTCCTAGAACCTGTTGATTAGCTTGAGGTTCTCTCAATATTTTAGTATTGCTTAATGATAAAAATAATACAGATTTCTCAAAAGTTTATATATGTGTGTATATATATTTTGCATAATACATATATATTTTTTTAATGTTTATTTTTGAGAGAGAGGCACAGAGCATGAGTTGGGGAGGGGCAGAGAGAGAGAGGGAGACACAGAATGTGAGGTAGGCTCCAAGCTCTGAGCTGTCAGCACAGAGCCCGGTGCGGGGCTCAAACCCACAAATTATGAGATCATGACCTGAGCCAAAGTCAGATGCTTAACCGACTGAGCCACCCAGGCTTCTATACATACATAATATATTGATTGTCCATTGCTTCTAGCTCTTCTGGAAGACTCGTTTATTATAGTTTGTTAATTGGGGTTATACTTGTATATACATTTTGAGATCCAATTTTTTCCATACTTAATGTTTCAATATGAGAATTTTCTGTTATTAAATACTTTGAGAACATTTTTAGTTTTTGGATAACATGAGCATATATATATCACATAATTTATGTAACATCACCTCTGTTGTTGGAAATTTAGATTGCTTACAAGTCTCCACTGTTATTTGTAGACTATTAGAACTATGACAAAATCTTTGTCAAAAAATTGTTAAACTGTATGTATATATTTACCTTTTTTAAAGCTTGAATATTTTAGTTTAGTGGTCAAAATTTATTATTTTAATAAGCATCCTGTTGACTTAGGCTTTCCATTGCTTATTTTGTGACTAGAAACCATTTTTCTTTTCTCAGGGCATAAAGCCAGCCAGTTTCAATAAAGTCACTGATCCTGAAGTGAAAGAAATCATTGAAGGGTGTATTCGTCAAAACAAATCAGAAAGGTGGGTACAAATGTAGCAAAATGATATAACTGATAGATACATTAAACTCTTATCTTGGACTGGGTCATTTTCTAACTTTTGAATAATACTGAGTATTACTTTTGAGTAGAACACAAACCGTACTGTATTGAGTGAAGTATATCAGTGCATGTTGCTTGCCATTTTGGACTTTGATATCATGTGCTCAATTTTTCTTGAACTGAAATTTGGGTTTTGTTTGTGTGTGTTGTGGCAAATTTTCATTACCTTCAGCCATCAGTTTAACAGTCATTTGAGCCCCCCAGTTTAACTTGTTTCTAACAGTTGATAGTAGAGTTTCTGCAGTGTCACCTTCAGGTAAGTACTCAAATGGTTGCGCCCCCAGGTTAATTTGTTTCTAACAGTTGATGGTAGAGACCTTCTGCTGTGTTACCTTCAGGTAAGTACTTAAATGATTTTTTATGATAGCTTAAAAAAATTGACCATCAACTCACTGGATGTTTTTTATTTATAGACCATATATCCTTGGGTCATGATAATGGTAAAGTGGATAGGGCTATTTTTTTCAAGAAGTAGTATTCTAGATGGGCGCCTGGGTGGCTCAGTTGGTTAAGCATCTGACTGTGGCTCAGGTCATGATTTCACAGTTTGTGGGTTTGAGCCCCGCATTAGGTTCTGTGCTGACAGCTCGGAGCCTGGAGCCTGCTTCGGATTCTGTGTCTCCTGCTCTCTGCTCCTTCCCCGCTAATGTTCCATCTCTCAAAAAAAAAAAAAAAAAATTAAAGAGGTAGTATTCTAGATTTATTTGTATCAATTTTTTTTTATGGACGCATCCCTTTAGTTTTAGCTTATATTTCCCATTAATTTGAGCTTAGGACAGTTGCCGAGTTAAATCAGTAGGTTAAATTTTTGATTTTTTACCTCCTTATTGGTTATGATTAATGAAGGTGATAGGTCTTTTATAGAAGTTATTTTCACCCACATTTTATTGACTGTCCCCCGTTTTTATTAGTTTTCTAAGTTCAGTGTTGTATATCTGAGAATATATAAAGCCACTAAGGTAAAACCTGTTTAATTATAGCTTTATTATAAAACATTGGTGTTTGTACCAACAGGCTATATCTAGGTAGTTATATATTTTAATTATGATAAAATATGCATAACTTAAGATTGACCATTTTAATCATTTTTAAGTATACAATTCAGTGGCATTAAGTATATTCACATTGTTGTATACAACCACACAGCTTTGTATTTACAGAACCTTTTCATCACCCAAACAGAAACTCTGTACCTATTACATAGTACCTCTCCATTCCTTTTCCCCTCAACACCTAGTAACATTTATTCTACTTTTGTCTCTATGAATTTGTTTATTCTAGGTACCTCATGTAAGTGAAATCAAACAATAATTTGTCTTTTTGTGGCTGGTTATTTAACTTAGCATAGTGTTTTCAAGGTTGATCCATGTTGCAGCCTGTATCAGAATGTCCTTTTTAAGGAAGAAACACATACATGCCCATTTTGTGTATCCATTAGTCTGTTGATGGACACTTGGGTTATTTCTACCTTTTGGTTATGATGAATAGTGTTGCATGGATATTGGTGAATAAGTATTTGCTTGAATCCCTGTTTTCAGTTCTCTTCATTATATACCTAGGAGTGGAATTACTGGATTGTATGGTAATACTGTTTAATTCTTTGGATAACCACCAGTTTTTTTCACAGTGACTGCACCATTTTGTATTCCTTCCACTAACATATGAAGGTTCCGGTTTTTCAACATCCTCACCAATACTCGTTATTTTCCATTTTTTGATAATAGCTATCCTAATGGTTACGAATTGGTATCTCATTGTGGTTTGGATTTGCATTTTCCTAATGACTAATGATGTTGAGTATCTTTTCACGTGGTTATTTTCATGTGGTTATTGGCCATTTGTATATCTTCTTTGGAGGAGTGTCTGTTCAAGTCCTTTGCCCTTTTTAAAGTTAGGTTGTTAATTTTTGTTGTGGCCATTTTTAAGTTGTAAGAGTTTAGGCATACTTTTTTTAAAATGAGACTGAAAATACAGTTGACCCTTGAACAACAAACAGTACAGTACTGTAAATGTATTTTCTCTTCCTTATGGTTTTCTTAATAATGTTTTCTTTAGTTTATTGTAAAAATACAGTATATAATACATATGCAAAATACATGTTAATCAACTGTACGTTATTGGTAAGGCTTCTGGTCAATAGAACTATTAATAGTTAACTATTAATAGTTAAGTTTTGGGGGAGTTAAGAGTTAGACACAGATTTTCAACTGAGGTTCGCACCCTAACCCCCCATAGTGTTCAAGGGTCAGTTGTATGATGTTGAAGTAGCCATTTTAGTTTGGATTCTGATTATTGCTTTTACAGCATTTTCATTGTGAACTGTTATCAGAGAACATTGGAATATTCAGAAGGATTCATAGCATATTAGTGTATTAGAAAGAGCATAAGCTTCTACATCAGACCAAGATTCAAATGTGGATTCATACTTAGCCAGTGTGATCTTGAGTAAGTTACTTAACTGTTCCTCAAAACAGGTCTTACTTTGGTGATTAAAAAGATAATGCATATAAAATACCTAACAGAGTAATAAGTATTTAATGGTGTCTTTTGGTGCTATTGCTGTAATTATTCCTTAGTAAAAATACCTAGGGAAATTTTTCATTGAGAGGCAGAGGGCTTTAACTTGGTTGTGCCTTCTTAAACACATCTTACCTTAGCCTTAAAACTAATTAGTATGAGGAAGCTTACTCTTTTTATAACGCTCTCTTAGTTATGTATTTGTCTCAATCAGTAAAATGATCAGAAGGGTTGAAAATCCTCAAGTTACAGGATACCATGCTATTAATGTACTTTATCTGTTTTAAGTGAGAGGTTTTCTACATAGACATTGGTTTTAGTTCTCTCTAACCTGTAATATAGATACATTAGATATTAAATATCTGTTTTAGAAATTGGTGAAAGCAAAGGAAATTAACTGTCCTGAGCTTGTAAAAGAATCTTTTGAACCCCTGTCCTTTTTTTCCTCTTCAGAGATGGTTAATTCCTAATACTAGGTTAGAGGCACATCCACTGCATGTATACTTTGGCCTAAAATACTAGACTTACATATTTTAAGAAAACCATGGGACTTTGCAGAACTAAATTAGTATCATTCATGGCATTCTCTAAAGAGTAAAGTACACTAACTTGACTATTGTTAATGGAGTCGACTTCTATTTATAACATTTGTAAAATAGTTTGAATTTATGGTTTACTTTAGAGTTTATATATCTGGAAGTTTTTAGTTGCTTTTGCTGACAGTCTATTGTTTGAGTTTTAGTAACTTAAGCCAGTGGCTTAGGGAAACTAGTCACTCTACCCACCATATACTATAGCACTGCTTCAGTTCTCTAGGCATACAGTATCTAGATGTGTTGTTGATAACAATCTTTAATTAAGGTGACTTTAAGTGTATGTTAGGTGGGATTTCTTTGCATTCTTGGTAATAATGAGTTGGATATAAGATTTGGTTTTTAACAAAGCAGGGTAATGGTTTAATTAATAGAAGTTTTAAAATAAGATTGTTATTTTGATGTAATTAATATTTACTAATTAAGGGTTCTAAATCTTGTTTGTGATTGGAAAAATTGATAATGAGATATGTATTTTGTTTATTAGGTTGTCTATCAGGGACCTATTAAACCACGCATTTTTTGCTGAGGATACAGGACTGAGGGTGGAGTTAGCAGAGGAAGATGACTGCTCTAATTCGTCCCTGGCTTTAAGACTCTGGGTTGAAGACCCTAAAAAATTGAAAGGCAAACACAAAGACAATGAAGCTATTGAATTCAGTTTCAATTTAGAAACGGATACATCTGAGGAAGTAGCATATGAAATGGTAAGTGAATCCTACCACTATTCTCCACACCCCCCAACCAATGCTGCCCTTTATAGTATCAGGGTTGATTGATTCCTTTCTCCTTATTGCTTTCTTTCCTCTCGTTTTCTCCTTTTCTTTATTTAAATTATTTTATTGTGAAATGTATCTTTACAGAAGAGTATATTAAATTTGTATGTAGAGTATAAAGAATAATAAAATGCTAGTTTTATTAAGAAATAGAACACAACTGATACCTTTGAAGCCACCTGTATGCCCCTCCCAGTTGTATTCCCTTCCCTAATCACTACAGGTAATATCTACCCTGGCTTTTGTGTTACTTATTCCTTCCTTTGTTTTTCATTATAGTTTATCTAAGTAATATATTGTTTTGTTTTAGAAACCTGAGTGGCAAGCCCACACCTAGGTGATTACTGAAGTTACTATTAGGTGAAGATGGCCAGGATAGCCAACTGAATAGTCTCTCAGTCATAGTCTGCCTTCAGTTTCCCTAAGCATTTACAAAAGGGGAAGTCAACAGGTGAGGTCATGATTAAATTTAGGGAAATACACACATGGCTCACTAGTCAGGTCACCAGTGGGCTGTTGTATGGACCAGAAATTAGTTGTGTGGTTACAATATGGTTTGATGGGGCGTGGGCCTCTCTGACTTCTCTACTTCTAATCTCCTCATGATCCCTCTCCCCACAGAGCACATGACAACAGAGAACTTCTGTGGGGTTGAATGTGCGTCCACACCAGATCCAGGCTGCTACAGTGCTTGGAGGGAAGGCATACAGGAGCTTTGGCAGCACATGGTCAGATTAGCCAAGTACAGATAGTCTGAGCCAGGTTAATCTGGACATCCTGTCCTTGGGTTAAAAAGAGGGATGGAACATTGACAGTGGGGATCTTGGAGATGATAGCCTTTAACGTGTCTATTTTTATAGTCATACTGTTTTGATCTGGAATGATTGCCTTGGACATCTGGTGCACAACTATTATTCTGATATTTCTCTTTACTATCTTTATAGACTCCTCTTCCTCTCTGTTGGGTTTCATGTTTCCTAAATCTCATGTCTTTTTCTTGGCTTACCCTATTGTTTTAGTGGCACACTTCCTCTGCCTGCTTCTTAAAGAAAGGGTATGAGAGGTAAATTCTTTGGGATTTGCATGTATGAAAATATTTTTATTCTATATTCATATTTAATTGATTGGCTGGCTATGGCATTTTAGGTTGCATTTAAAAAAATTTTAGACTCATTGTTCCATGCTTTTCTAGCTTTCAATATTAATATTGAGAAGTATAAAGTTCTGTTTTCAGAATCTTTTGCATGTGATCCATTTTTTGCTCTCTGGAAGTTTGTAATAGTTTCTATTTCTTTTTTCAGTATTCTAAAATTTCAGTGATATGTCTTTTTTTAATTTTATTTTTATTTTTTAAAAATTTACATCCAAATTAGTTAGCATATAGTGAAACAATAATTTCAGAAGTAGATTCCTTAATTGCCCTTACCCATTTAGCCCATCCCCCTTCCCACAACCCCTCCAGTAACCCTCAGTTTGTTCTCCATATTTATGAGTCTCTTCTGTTTTGTCCCGCTCCCTGGTTTTATATTATTTTTGTTTCCCTTCCCTTATGTTCATCTGTTTTGTCTCTTATAGTCCTCATATGAGTGAAGTCATATGATTTTTGTCTTTATGTGACTGACTAATTTCACTTAGCATAACACCCTCCAGTTCCATCCACGTTGTTGCAAATGGCAAGATTTCATTCTTTTTGATTG